AATGAATTCTGAGTAGAATGTGTCCTTTTATTTAAAATGAATCTCTGGGTTATTTGTAGGGCATAGGAATTCATTCATTCCCCCCCCCCTCCAAAATATAGTCCGGGCCCCCACAAGGTCTGAGGGGCAGTGAACCAGCCCCCTGCTGAAAAAGTTTGCTGACCCCTGTCCTAAGATATCCAGCAAGGCAAAACAAGGGACTTGGAAAGTGGTTGGGTGATGGATTGGTTTGAAGTTTGCGGCACAGCTACAACTAGGCCAAATTGTGGCACACATTGGGCTTGTTGGAAATATGTGAGTTGCCTTGAAGAGAGGACAGCCAGTCATAAGAGTTCAGGATGGAAGATGGGCATATTTTACTTGAACCATTAAGCTGTATGACCCAGCTATGCCCCACTGAAGCAAATCACACAACTTAATTTTAGCTATTGACTCATCATCATCTAATTATCCAATCATGCTTGAGTAGTTCATAAGTTTCTGTTCTGACTCAACCTACCTGTCATTTGTTTTCCTATTTTGCAATCTACCCCTCGTTTAAATGCACAGAGGAAGCGAGGTGGTATCTTTCCTCAGACTATCAACAGTTTGGAGAAAATTATCTGAGAAGATGTTTTTCTTGTAAAAATTTCGTTTGAGAGGATTTCCATTTCAATATATTTTCTACCAGTTTGCCAGAGGTGGTGCTGGGCAGACAAGTTGCTTTTGCTTTCCCTTTGCCAACTGCAGTCTACATTGGCTACACCTTCCCTTCCGTTCCCTTTTGGATAGCTGGAAGGGTTCTCAAGAAGTGCCCGTGTTCCAAAATTTACCTCTACACTACTGCTTGAAAGTCAACTGCACGGACGCCAACAGAACTTTCTTCAGACAAATCTCGCTATTTTTCTGTCAGAAATCCAACATGGGAAACAAAACTTGCTTCCCCATAAATGCGCTTTACCTTTTCCGCAGCCCCACCCCTCCAATATATATTTCTGGTGCTACCTCTGCAGTTTAGAATTTAATGGACCTAAGGTAGTCATGTCTGCTATTTTCAATGGGTCTACTCTAAGTAGGACCAACATTGGGCACAACCCAAAGAGTTTCTTTATGTATATAAAAAGATTTGTCCTATGGTTTGCCAACCCTTTCCAGTGTTCATATTGCCCTCTGGTATCTCAAATTTCTGGAGGCTACAAGTGTCCCACTTCTCTTCAGAAGGTCACAAGAGGCCCAGGATACATTCCTCTACATTTAAGTCAATGCCAGGGCAGTATCGTAACAAACGAGGTTAATTCGAGGCATGGTCATGCTAATGGGCTGTTTTAATATGGCTGTTTTAAGATACAGGACCTAAGCACGTTCTACTTAATTACCAGTCTGTTCACATGGCTCCTAATTACTGTATTTTCTAATTTGCTCATTAAAGAATCTCACTACTACACTGTTCCTTTTTTGTTTTAAGAAAATGGAAGTGCCCAGTAACTCACCTGTATGAGACAATCCATACTACTTAGTATTTTGACCCCCCCCCCGAAGAAGCGTAATGCAAATAATTTCCACTAACAGTTAAAACCATTATTTCTGATCTTCACGCTTTGTGTTTCCTGTGGTTAAAAGCAAAAAAATATAGGGGTGCTAACTGTGCCTGTGTGGCTCATACAATGCCAGTTTTGATTTGTTTTTACTTACTTTTGTATTAGATGTTAGTTCCACATTTAGATAAACTGAGCATTTGGGGATAAGAGTTTGTGACAAGATTTAAGAGTGTCCATGAGGGGTATAAAAATCCTTATAAATCCACAAATTATTTCAGATAAGTTGCCTAAACCAGAAATAAAATTGAGAACACAGGCCATAAAAATGAATGACCAATACCACCTTCAAGACCAATCTTTAAAACTGGGTGTGTGCAGGCAACAGATTCAAATACCCATGCAACCATGAAGTTCATCAGTTGCTATTTCTTAGACTAACCATTGCACAGGATGGTTGTGCAAATGCAAAGTTTTCAAGTTATCATATTGCTTCACTTCCAATCAGTGCATATCCTGTAACTTTTAATGCTGAAATCCTGTAATTTTTCATACTACAAATGTGCTGTGGGGGTGTTGTCCTGCTTTCATTGCACAATAGTCTTTTCAGACAGTGAAAACCTAAAATTGGGGAAGCATCACAGAACAACTAATAAAGCAGAATAAACCCACCACTAATGTGCTGTTATTGTATCAAGAACGCATCACATCTGGAGAGGCCTTTTATTCACTCATTACTATACAGTATCTAGTCCTGGAGCACCTTGAATCTGACTTCTGTGGAACTGAATGTTTTGAGGTTTACAGAATGAGGTTACATTCACATGAACAGTTATGCTGTTTAGCGCTCTAATTCTCATGAGCCACCAAGTCATTCCATGCATTCAATCAGTGGTCCTACTCATGTTCCCCCCACTGGACAAAAGGAAGATGGGCTGCATTTGACATTACTAAAATGGTGCAGATGTGTAAAAAGGTAAAGGTACCCCTGCCCGTACGGGCCAGTCTTGACAGACTCTAGGGTTGTGCGCTCATCTCACTCTAAAGGCCGGGAGCCAGCGCTGTCCGCAGACACTTCCGGGTCACGTGGCCAGCGTGACAAGCTGCATCTCGCGAGCCAGCGCAGCACACGGAACGCCGTTTATCTTCCCGCTAGTAAGCAGTCCCTATTTATCTACTTGCACCCGAGGGTGCTTTCAAACTGCTAGGTTGGCAGGCGCTGGGACCGAGCGACGGGAGCGCACTCCGCCGCGGGGATTCGAACTGCCGACCTTTCGATTGGCAAGTCCTAGGTGCTGAGGCTTTAATGCACAGCGCCACCCGCGTCCCGCAGATGTGTAGGGAGTAGCATAAAGAAACCACTTCCTATTCTGTTCATTCCTTGAACAGAAGGACTGGCCAGACCTGGAAGTATAATGAGTGCAAACCAAAAAGTGTGCACTCCTACAATCTTTCCTCATTCACAAGTACAAATGTTGAACAGGGGAAGGCAGGAGGGTCTACTTTCTCTCAAACAGTTATTGCTGGAATAACAATGTTTCACTGCAATCAAAAGCAAACTATAGTAATTTGTGAAGTGGCTTATAAGGTATGGGTAGGACGCGGGTGGTGCTGTGATCTAAACCACAGAGCCTAGGGCTTGCTCATCAGAAGGTCGGTGGTTCGAATCCCAGCGACGGGGTGAGCTCCTGTTGCTCGGTCCCTGCTCCTGCCAACCTAGCAGTTCGAAAGCACGTCAAAGTGCAAGTAGATAAATAGGTACCGCTCTGGTGGGAAGGTAAACGGCGTTGCTTTGTGCGCTGCTCTGGTTCGCCAGATGCGGCTTAGTCATGCTGGCCACATGACCCGGAAGCTGTACGCCGGCTCCCTCGACCAGTAAAGCGAGATGAGCGCCGCAACCCCAGAGTCGGCCACTGCTTGACCTAATGGTCAGGGGTCCCTTTACCTTTATAAGGTATTCAATGATGGAGCTTTTTTCAAAGTGGGACTTCATCCCTGGTATTACGGCTATTAGATGAGAAGCCACTTTGAACAGTGACCCTGCTTATCTTAAGCAGTGCACTGAATTTTAGATTTCACTGGAGGTAGCGTGACTTCCACACTCAAAACAACAATTAGCAGCCAACATTTTTGTTTCTTCACTTTGCTCGAGCAGCTACAAAAAATTCCTGGCCATCTCCTTCCTCCTTGAGCTTGGCAACTGTTACTGGAAACAATTCCAGACCGAGTGTTTCTAAGCATGTGCAGAGTGACCTTTCTTTCTGAAATGGAAGATTGCTAGCTTCTGTCTTTTAAAAAAGACCAACGGATGCATTACCCTTCAAAAATGGCTAGAACCTGTACTTCCTGTTCTGAAATTTGGCCAAGGGCTTGGTTAAAAAAGGCTGCCTGCCTTCACCTTGAGGCATTATCGCAGTCCCTGACTGTGCTCAGATGAAACGAGGTGGCTGAGTTTAAGGTGGTCGTAGTGTGGATTTTACCACTCAACGTTTGGAATGCTCCCTCTAATTAAAAACAAGAATCCCAAAGCACCTAACTAGGGAAGTAGCAGGGCAGGGAACGGTCTGTGTGCTAGAACCTGGATATCACAGCCAATACCGTCATTAGGCTAACTAGGCATCAGCCTTGGGCACAGACCTCAGAAGGGCTCAGTACCAACTTTTGAGGGGCACAGTTATGCAGATCCTCCAAGTGTCCTTATTTTCCAGGGACAGTCCTGGATTTACAGAAGATTTACAGAATTTCTAATTTGCTCCTGGAATGTCCTGCTTTTCCTTAGAACGTCCCTATTTTTATTGGAGAAATGTTGGACGGTATAGAGTTATGCGACTCCCGAGCCAAGGAGAAAAGTAACTATACAACTTTTAGAAGACATCTGAAGGCAGCCCTTTATAATGAAGTTTTCTTAATGTTTTTATATATGTTGGAAGCAACCCAGTCGGATGGGCGGGGTATAAATATTATTATTATTATTATTATTATTATTATTATTATTATTATTATTGCTACTACGGGATAGGACCTCCCTATTTTCAACGGAGGAATGTTGGAGAGTGTGTTTTATACGGATTATTTTTTGTTGCCTCTTATAAATTCCTGACAACAGTCCATTTTATATTTCGAATAATTTTATCACTTTTAAAGGAATTCACACAAAGACGTTCCTTTTGAAACTCGAAGCTAGTCTTTTTTTATTGTTTTGGAGAGGGGTGCAAACAGTCGGCCTCGCCGCAAAAGAGCCTGCCACCTGCGCTGCTTGGCGCGCGAAGTTCCTAGGCGCAAAGAGCTGTTTGCTCGCAGGAGGAGCGCAATCCGCGCCTCGCCTGCGCTCACCTGCCACCTGAAGCGACCCAGCAGCCGCCTCCTCCTACCTCCGACTGCCGCGGCTCCTCCCGGCGCTGCTTTGCGCGCGGAGGGCGCGTCCCTCGGGCGGGAACAGGAAGCGTGCCGCCCCAGCCACCCCCGACGGAGCCGCAGCCTCGGCTCGCGTCTTGTCCCAGGGCCTCCCTGAGGAGCGGCGGTGGCGGTGGCCGAGCCCGCCCCTCTCCCAGCCTCCATCGCGGCTGCCCGCCTTCCTCCTCCTCCTCCTCTCCCAATTCCCATCCCCAAGCAAGGCGGAGCTGGAGATTGAACCTTCGGCTGCCGCTACCGCTGCCACCTCTCCGCCCGTCTCCCAGGCGCCCGAAGCGAGACTGCCACCCCCTTCCCTCCCGGTGCTAATTTCGAGGGGGCGACGCGGGGGCAGCAAACAAGGGGCGGCGGGGGTCGCGCCTTCTCCGGCGGCAGCAGCAGCAGCGGTAGCCGAAGCCGCAGCAGCGCCCTGACGAGAAGCGCCACAAAGGAGCGCCAGCGGCGGCGGAGCTTTGCGCCGCCTGCGGAGTCGCCATGAGCTGGGGCACGGAGCTGTGGGTGAGTAGTCCGCCCTTTCATTGTGTCTGGTGGTTGGGAGGGGGGGATCGGGTCCACGCTCGGAGGGAAGAAAAAAGAGGGAGGACGGCTTCGTTTGGGGGGGGGCTCCTTTGGGGAGGCGCCGTGCCCGGGGATGCGCGCGGGTGGCCTTTGTTGGAGGAAGTGTTGTGGGGAAGCGCCCGAGGGGGGTAATGGGTACTGAGGGGAGGCGAGTGGGGTTTTTTTTGGGGGGATTTCCCCTGGATAGGCGAGCAGAGGGCTGGGAAAGGGGTGGGGGGACGCCACACAAATCCTCATTTGTAATTTTCCTGGTGTAGGCGACCCTCTTATTCCTCTTCCACCCCAATCTCTCCTGCTGGCGTGTAAAGCGGGGTGCCCCTCATTTCAGGACCCTGGGAGCGGTGAAAGGCGGGTGAGACCCCCGCATCGGCGCCCCCCCCCCTCCTCTATGGGCGGTGCGTGGGTTGCCCTGCCATGCAGGGTCTCCCCCCCCCCTTCTCTTTCTCTGTCTTCCTTCTTAAACAAAGGAAAGGTGTTCGGACACAAGCCAGCAGTGGCACATTGAATGCACGGCTTGGTGAGATAAGCCGGTGGCTCTGCGCGCAGTTTGTGTATGTAGCGAGCCCCTCCCCTCCCTCTCCCCCCCCCCTCCCGCTTAAGAAAATAAAGGTGAAAATGACTTTCAGGTTTGATTGCTTCCCTTTGGTGTGAGTCAGCTGCGCCTTGGATCCTGCTTGAAGAGTTTCAGACAATACTGGGCCACTAGGGAAGGGCTACGACGAGAAAGCGATGTGCTGGGGGGGGGGAGTCGAAAAATACGAGGCGAGGGGCTTTTGCTGAGGGCGCTGCAAGCTCCGTTTGGAAGACAAGTTGCAGATCTAGCCTTTATTTGCGTTCATTCGAACTCTAGGGCTAAAGTCAGAGGAATTGCAGTCTTATTGTTGATGCAGGTCAGGCAGGCAGGAAACCCATATATTAACATTCTAAGACGCTGCTCCTTGGTGCAGAAAATTTTGTGCATAGTACTACACTGCTTTCTGACAAATCCTTGGGTGGGTCGAGAAGCAAGCAAGCGGCTCGTTTTGCTGTTCAAGAGCACGCAGTTTCCTTTCTTGAAAATCTCATTACTTAGAGCTTGCTGATTGCGACAAGGGTAGGAAAGCCAAGGTAAAAACAGCTCCAAGGAGCCAACAACATGACATAGTGCCTAAGGCACCAGCTGCCACTGGTCCGTTGTACTGTACAGATGAGCACTCCCTCAGTTGGTTCAATAAATGGAAGGAGGGTCATGGTGAACCTTTGAGGTTGGGGAAATAATTTTGAAGCCCAATTCTGAACCATATAGTGGCTGGTGCATGACAGTCTTCAACAAAAATGACGTAGAGCTATTAAAAATAGGTTTTTGTTGTGTGTATGGGCTATCAGCAAGCCCTGTCATTCAGTGGTTATGCTTGGCTCTAGCTTAAGGGGTACTTTGATGTTGGCTTCAGTAGACTACAGAGATTTTCCCGTCACCATCTGCATTATATTACAATAAGCATTTTTACAAAATTTAGTATTACATCAAGTGTTTATACACACCGTTAGCAAAATAAGGACACAGAAATACTGTATAGTCGTACCTCGGAAGTAGAACGGAAGTCCGTTCGACTTCCAAAACGTTTAGAAACCAAGGCGCATGTTTAGAAACCAAGCTCCTGCAGCCAATCGGAAGCTGAGTCAGACGTTCTGGTTCCCAAGAATGTTCACAAATCGGAACACTCACTTCCGGGTTTGCGGCGTTTCGGAGCGAAAACGTTCAAGTTGCAAGAGTAAGCTTCTTAACATTTTATAGCCTGTTGGTGTCATGTCAGGTTATAGTGTTTTCGAACCGGTTGATTTGAGAATAAAATACATATTTTATGTGTATGCAGGCAGCAGCAATAAAGCTTGAAATGTGTCTGTTCATAACCCCTCTTTTTGAGGGATAGGTAAAGGAATCAGGCTAAGCATTTAGAGGGACGTGGGTGGCGCTATGGGTTAAACCACAGAGCCTAGCACTTGCTGATCAGAAGGTTGGCAGTTCGAATCCCCGTGATGGGGTGAGCTCCTGTTGCTCGGTCCCTGCTCCTGCCAACCTAGCAGTTCAAAAGCACGTCAAAGTGCAAGTAGATAAATAGTTACCGCTCCGGCGGGAAGGTAAATGTTGTTTCCGTGCGCTGCTCTGGTTCACCAGAAGCGGCTTAGTCATGCTGGCCACATGACCCGGAAGCTGTACGCCGGCTCCCTCGGCCAATAAAGCGAGATGAGCGCCGCAACCCCAGAGTTGGTCACGACTGGACCTAATGATCAGGGGCCCCTTTACCTTTAAGCATTTAGAATATGGCAAGCAAATCTGCAATCCTAACCCTGTTTGGGAGTTAGCTGCAATGAACTCAATAGGAGCTGCTTCTGATTGATTACAGTCTGATTGACTGGATTTTGCCATTATATGCTACTTGAAGTAGCCCTAGGTATCATCTTTTTTCTGTGTGTCTTTGTGTGTACCTGACTGCAGTATAGTACATAGTGGCAGGCTTTATTCAGAAGAAACAGTGCAAAACATGTACTGTATGCTTTTGTTCTTTACTATGTCATTTACCAGATTTTTCAGGTTTTCTTATTGTTTTCTCATTTTCTTGTTTTTCTGGATTCAAAGCTGACCTGGAAAATCCTTTGAAGACACAAATAACAAACCTGAACTTTCAGTGCATTCTAAAACACTTGGTTTTTTCTTAAAATTAGGCCTACATTTATTGACTTTTTGTATGAAATAAACCTAAGCCTATGTCTTTTAAATTGCTGAAAACACAATGCTTACCCTTCTTCCTGTTGACTTGGTGCCATTTGTTTCAGGTTGTCAGACCCTCTTGACCTGTGTAGCTGATCTGCTGATAGGTTCCTTTCTAAAACCCTGTCCTGTCTTGTTCTATGCCTCCTGAGTCGTAACAGCTTCTGAAGGAAAAAGCGTGCCATTTCTCTGTCAATATATATTGCTAGTGGGCAGTAGTGCAAGTAGCTGCTGCTTCTTTTTCTTTGGCGATCACTTTTAGCCGAGTAAGATTGTCTTCCATAAACACGGTTTTAACAATGACTCTGTGAGTGACTGTGGAGGCCAGTTCTGGATCCACACGTCCTTCCACAGTGGGGACATTGGTTTCCGGGCGGGAGTTGATCACGGTGAGGGTTTGCCAAGCGTGCCTTCCTCTTAGCACCTTTCTCCCTTGTGTCCTGAGTTCGAGTGTCTTCAAAGCCCATGACACCTTTGGTAAAGGCTGTTCTCCAACTGGAGATCTCGCAGGCCAGTGTTTCCCAGTTGCCAGTGTTTATACTACATTTTTTTAAGATTTGCCTTGAGACAGTCTTTAAACCTCTTTTGCTGACCACCAGCATTACGCTTTCCATTTTTAAGTTCGGAGTAGAGTACAGTGGTACCTCGGGTTACATACGCTTCAGGTTACAGACTCCGTTAACCCAGAAATATTGCTTCAGGTTAAGAACTTTGCTTCAGGATGAGAACAGAAATTGTGCTCCGGCGCCGCAGCAGCAGGAGGAGGCCCCATTAGCTAAAGTGGTGCTTCAGGTTAAGAACAGTTTCAGGTTAAGTACGGACCTCCGGAATGAATTAAGTACTTAACCCGAGGTACCACTGTAGTTGCTTTGAAAGACGATCATAAGTAGCACTACTATTCCGGCATATGCAGTATTAATTGGAACCAGAGAAAAAATACTTATGCAAATGCAACAAAGCATTCTTCTGCACAACCAGTAGAAATGGGCGTTTATTTACACTTGTATTATTTTTATTTATCACCTAGTCTTCACCTGTTATGGTCCCAGGGTAGGTCACAACAATTTAAAATGCATCATTAGAAACAGTTTTAAAACTTAAGCAATCACAAAAAAATAGGGTGGGTCCTGAAGATATGTACCTCAAGTACCAGAGGCCAGGGTAAATGAAGCCTTTATAGTAGAAAGCAGTATTGAATCTGCTTGGTGAGTTTACCATCTGTAATATCACCCGCCGACTGCAGGTTTCTCCTGCTGCCAGTGCCACTGCTGCTTTTGTATACGGTGGTACCTTGGAAGTAGAACGGAATCCGTTCTGGAAGTCCGTTCGACTTCCAAAACGTTCGGAAACCAAGGCACGGCTTCCGATTGGCTGCAGGAAGTTGCGAACGCTGCGGGTTGCGAATGTGCTTCCTGCATGGATCACGTTCGCAACCTGAGCGTCCACTGTACTAGAATATGGAGTACTGGCCTTAGCTGGAAGCAACCATAGCTGAAAATACTTGTGCCTCATGTGACAGTTTTGGAACCACCTGGGTTCCTAGCCTGCTTCTTCCATGTTCCAGCACAATTGAGTTATAGTAAAAACTTTCCACCCATATTAACCACTGAACCCTTGTGTACTGGCCAAAGATTGAGGTTTCTGGCAAAACATGTCATCTTTGATCTAATTTATATCATGGTAACATTTAGTCTTTAGCCCTGAAGACAGTTGCATTAGCAGGTGTGTCTCATTAATTTATGATGGAGATCAGCATGTGTATCTGGGACAGTATTGGAGCTCTAAAGGCCCTCTGCAGAGTAAAGAAGAGAACTGGTATGTAAAAGTAATAGCTTTTCTCAAGTCCTGCTATGAAAATTGTAGAATTGTGGAGTTGGAGGACCATGGGGGTCATCTAGTCCAACCCCCTGAAACATGGGGCTCTCTTTTGCCCAACGTGGGGCTCTTCCGCTGCTCCAACACTTTTATGGGAGATGAACAAGAAAAAATCCGCTGTGCACCTGAGAATTAGGATTAGCTCCTGTTTGCACAAATAATGATGAATTAGACATTTGAAGGATTGCAGATTTTGATAACATTGATGGCAAAGGAAGACATGTCATGAATTGTGGTGGCAGACAAGCTTTCAACCTGGCTTGTCTTTAAATAACTGTCTAGGATGTGATTGCAATGAGAACTAATAAATTTCAAT